CGGGAGTTAATGTTTACTGTTATAAATCAAAATTCAATAACTTTTAAACAAATTAATAAAACAAATAATTTTTTCTTTGAACTAATTTTAGTCAAAATATTTTGAAAATAAAAAATACAAATAAAAACTCACATCTTTTGATAGTTTTTTACTTTGAGTGTTGAGTGAATTCAACCAAATGTCAAACATAGAGCCGAAGACCATATCATTCTGTGCGGTAAACCATTGAATAATGTGGTTAACCCATTGAACACAATCCCTGTCCGGACCGTTCGCCACATTAGACTTCTTCGAGTCATTTGTCTTATTATCCAAACCCACAGAAGTTTTAGCGATAGTTTCGTTGACACAACTGTTGTCTCTGTCACTGATAACGGTTTCGTTTAATTGCTTTCGTTTGTTGATAACAACCACTAATATATTGCCCACAGAATAGACAATAAGTGCGAAAAGGACCCAAAGTATAAGAAGCATTGTCGTCCAGTCTATGGTCTGCATTACACCCAACCGTGTCATTAGCGCTCGGAGACTGTCGACTGAACCCAACGTTAGATCGTTAACATTTGACACAATCTGTTGGACGGCTCCGATAGGGCTCATCATCTCTATAGTCTGGGGTACAGACAGATGCGCGCACACACTCTACACACCTTAACCCACAAAACAAAAATAAAATACTAATCTTTGGCCCAATATTCCTATTCCTATGGCTTTAAGACACGCTATCAAAGCGCTATCCGTACGTCACTTTCTTCGGCCCCCCTTTCCGTGTATATCGAGTTTCGCGTTAGAAAGTTGTGCCAACACTTCAATACTTTGCGAAAAACTGATTATTCAGACCCAAGACATAGAAATAATAATAAAAAAACTATTTTTATAATTCCTTTGCCTCCTTCACCACCACTACTACTACTACTTGGCTTCACATCAAACACAAGGACTCCATCCAAATGAATAGATAAGGCTTTTAAAGAGCTATTTTGCGAACCGTTTTTTCCTCTTCTCTCTACAGCGCGACTACTACTCGAGGAATAGGTTTGTGTGCGCCTGTGTTGTGGGTGCTCTCCCTCTCCCACCTCATTATACATACAGTTATGCGTTATATAACCGGTGTATGAGAAATATTTTTGTACTTTGAGAACTCTTTCGTAAATTAATATTGATTTAAGAAATAATAAAAGTATGATTTTAAACAAAATATAATTTATACAATAGATATGATAGTATAGTTCAACAATTGTATTACAATACTTACGTAATACAAGTTAAATAGTTTGAATTGACTGTATTTTTATAATGATAACAATTGTTATAAATAAGCATTTGTATAATGTGTTTGTAATGTAATTATTTCTATATCTCACGAGTCATTAAATTAAATGACAATCAAATCTCAACACTTATAGACTGCACGTAAACACTACACAGCAGTAAACAAATATCACAAAAACAAATGCATTAAAAATACTACTTCTTAATTACTGTANTTACTGTATTTGACAAATAACTTGCAATTAATTATAGAAAACTAAAACTATTTTAAGTATAAAAATAATTTCTGCAAATAACAGGAAATAAAAGTATTTTTCAAAATAAAATATTCCGCAAACATATGGCCATAAAAACAACCAAAAAGTTAATCAAATTACAAATTATATTTACTTTGAAATCAATTAATAATCAATAAATACAGTATTAATACACAGGAAAAGAGTATTGAAATTATACAAACAAATAGAAATCAGAAATGTTTACAACAAAAAAGTAATCATATATTAGTTGAATGACCGGTCATTCGGGATAATCAAAGTCTTCGGGAATATCGAACTGCTTATTGAGTTCCGCGTCTTCGAGATTGAACTTCTCTTTACACCACGACTTCACTAGAAATACGTTGTCTTCGGGGAAAAAACCATAACAAACAACAAACAGATATCAATCAAAACTCAACACTAATCACATAATAACGGCAAACCTGTCCATCGATTGACGGCCTCCTTAGCGACCGTACAATCTTTCTGCAGCTGTTCCGTCACTTTTGGATCGCAATCTTTGAGCGCTTCCAGACGGACCTTAAG